AAAGTATTGCCGCTATCACCGGGTTGATAATCACGACACGGAGGAGTGCTTTACCTTGAAACGCGAGATTGAAAGACTGATCCAAAGGGGCCATCTGAGTAACTTCGTCAAAGGGGCTGCACAGCAGCCCAACCATATATGGCGGAAATCATCAGAACAAGTGGCATGCACGCAGCCGGAGACCCGAAGGGCAGAGAAAAGACACATTGGAAATGAGAGTGACGAGGATGCCTCGGATGAGCCAGGGCCGAAGCGAGACAAGAGGAACCATGACATCAATTTCATTTATGGAGGTAATGCAGGCGGGGACTCTTCGTCCCTTCGAAAGAAATGGGCTCGTCAACTGTACATTGGTGAGATCATGCACTCTCCAATGAAAAAGAAGGTACGACGTGAACCTATATGCTTTACTGATGATGACCTACCACCATGTCCAAGCCCACATCGGGATGCCATGGTTATCAAAATGGAGATCAATGATCTTGTCATACACCGTACCCTGGTCGACACTGGAAGTTCCGTTAACATAATGTACCTCGACACTTTCGAGAAACTGAAGTTGTCCAAAGGAAAACTCCATCCGATAAAAACCCCGTTATCTGGGTTCACGGGTGACTCTATCGAGGCAGAGGGAGTTGTCACGGTCCCGGTGGAGGTGGGGGACACGTCCCATAAAGTGAAACTCAACATGGAGTTCGTAGTTGTCCGACTGACATGTGCACATAATCTTATACTCGGACGGCCAGGCCTGGAAGGTTTGCAGTGCATTGTGTCCCCGACACATCTTTGTATTAAGTTCCCAACACCAACCGGAGTGGGGATAGCACGCGGGAGCCAGAAGCTCGCCCGAACATGTTACATAAAAATCACAAAGAAGGTGGGGCGGCATGGCCTCCAGGTAAACACTGTGGCCACACAATACCTACAAGATGAAGAGCGAAGACCCCGTGCTGAACCAGCAGAAGGGACAGAAGAGGTCACCCTTGACCCTGCAACCCCAGAGCGCAAGGTTAAGATAGGCACTGGATTGTCAGCTGAGCTCCGCGCTGAGGTCATAACCGTCCTGACTATGTACCAAGGCATATTTGCAAGAGGACCAGAGGACATGCCGGGCATCAGTAGAGATGTCATCTCTCATCGCCTAGATGTGGACACTATGTCAAAACCGGTGAAACAAAAGAAACGTTACATGTCCTCGGACAGGCGGGAATTCGTAAGGAAAGAAGTGGGCACCTTGTTAAAAATCGGCCACATCAAGGAGGTGAAATACCCAGAATGGTTGGCAAATGTGGTATTGGCACCTAAACCCCCAACGTGGAGGATGTGTGTGGATTACACTGACCTAAACAAGGCATGCCCGATGGATCCATTCCCATTGCCTAACATCGACCAATTGGTGGACGAGACAGCGGGGTGTGAATTGATGAGTTTCATGGATGCTTTCAGTGGATACCACCAAATTCGCATGCATGAGGAGGATGCAGAGAAGACCTCATTCATGACTCCAGAGGGTGTTTTCTGTTACTTAGTCATGGCGTTTGGACTGAAAAACTCTGGGGCAACGTACACCCGCATGATCTCTAAACTTTTTCGACCTGTCCTAGGCCGCACCATGGAGGCCTACGTGGATGATATGATTGTGAAGAGTAAAAGAGCAGGTACGCATGCCGTGGATTTGGCAGAGGTGTTCAAAATCATGGAGAAGTTCAATCTTCGTCTCAATCCAAAGAAGTGCACGTTCGCCGTGCAAGGAGGGAAGTTCCTGGGTTACTTGGTAAGCAGAAGAGGAATCGAGCTAAATCCGGAGAAAGTCAAGGCCATACTCGAAATGGAACCTCCTCGTAATGTCAAAGAAGTGCAGCGATTGACGGGACGCTTGGCGGCTTTGAACCGCTTCTTATCAAAACTAGCGGAGAAAGCCACGCCATTCTTCCACATCATGAAGAAATCAAAGGGTTTCGTATGGACTGAGGAGTGTCAAAAGTCATTCGAGGGATTGAAAAACTACCTCTTGTCTCCTCCAGTGTTATCTAAACCTGAAGCGGGGGAGACACTATACCTATACCTAGGGGTTTCACCAAGTGCAATTAGTTCTGTCTTGGTGCGTGAAGATGGTGGCGTCCAAAGACCCGTTTACTATGTAAGCAAAACTTTGAGGGACGCTGAGCTACGGTACACAACCATAGAAAAAACTGTTCTATCCGTGGTGTGGACGGTCAAACGGCTCACGCAATACTTCCAAGCTCACCCTGTCCATGTACTGTCACACCAACCCCTGGGTGCCTTAATGAGGAGTCCCACGGCTTCCTCGAGGATGGTCAAATGGGCAGTGTATCTAAGTCAATTTCATATAGAGGTGAAGCCAAGACCTTCCATCAAGGGGCAAGCTCTTGCAGATTTCATAGTAGAATGCACGGCGCGGGAGGAAGCAACGAAGATGAAGCATGGCGACGATGAACAAGAGTGGTGGATACTGTCCACGGATGGCTCCTCCGCGGCCAAATCTTGTGGGGGAGGGGTGGTCCTCACCACGCCCGAAGGCTTCAGGGCCTATTACGCTATCCGGTTCAACTTCAAGGTGTCGAATAATGAGGCAGAGTACGAGGCTCTACTATGTGGTCTACGCTTGGCAGCAAACATGAGGGCAGAGAAGGTCAAGATACGGTGTGATTCAAAACTAGTGGTTGGACAGATCACGACTGAGTTTGAGGCGAAGGAAGAACGGATGCGGCTATATCGTGACGCTGCACTAGAACTTCTGAAATTGTTCATCGCCTATGAAATTGAACAGATACCAAGAGCGCAAAATGTCGAAGCAGACATGTTATCCAAATTAAGTGCAGAGACACCGGAAAGGATTTCAAAGATTGCAAGGATAGAAGAGTTGGACACTTCCAGCATATATGCATGCCCTGTCCAGGCCATAACCACGAGGGACGCGGACTGGATTGACTCCCTCATCAAGTATATCAACAAGGGAGTGCTGCCCGCGGAGGAGGTTGAAGCCAAGGTGACTAAGATGAGGGCGCCGAGTTATACCATTTTGAATGAGAAACTGTACAAGAGGTCTTACAATGGCACGCTTCTCAAGTGCTTACGACCAGATGAAGCCAAGGTTGCCATGGAAGAGATACATGCAGGGATATGCTCAGCTCACCAAGGAGCACACACCATGTCCCGAAAGGTAATCCTACAAGGTTTCTTCTGGCCAACCATAGTCAAGGATTGCGCTGAATTTGTCAAGAGGTGTGTGGTGTGTCAAGAGTTCCAGAAATCTCCGGGACGTCCAGCCACCAACTACACCCCCATCAGCACGGCTATACCTTTCGCAAGGTGGGGAATAGATCTCATTGGTGCCTTACCAAGGGGAACAGGGAGCGTGAGATGGGTTATCGTTGTCATAGACTATTTTACTAAATGGATAGAAGCAGTACCCCTAGCAAGCATCACTGAAGGGCAATGCAGAAAATTTGTCATGAAGCACATCCTTTGTCGCTTTGGAGTACCCCAACAGATCATAACCGATAATGGGAGGCAATTCGGAGCATCCGGGTTTAACGAATTCTGTGAGAGTTGGGGGATCAAACACAGCAATGCGTCAGTTGCCTATCCCCAAGCGAATGGCCAAGTGGAGAATGCAAACCGCACGATCATGGACGGTTTGAAGAGAAAGCTGGAAGCTGCCGGAGGGGAGTGGGCTGAAGAACTACCACAGATACTCTGGGCATACAGGACCACACCAAGAAAGGCCACAGGGGAGACACCATTCTCCTTGACATATGGTTTCGAGGCGAGGGCACCTGCGGAAGTAATTCTCCATAGCCGCCGAGAAGAGGAATATGACCCTGAGACGAACGAGGAGGTCATGGCAACCGAGCTTCTTTTTATTGAAGAAAGAAGAGAAGCGGCTTTCTGTCGTGCGGAGAACTATAGAAGGCAGGTGAAGGGATACCATGATTCTCGAGTTCGCAAACGCAACTTTGAAGTTGGGGACTATGTCTTGAGAAAAAGGGAGGTCAGCAAACCCTTGGAAGGGGGGAAATTTGCCAAAAATTATGAAGGCCCTTACGTGATTAAATCAGTGATCCGTCCAGGGACGTTCAAACTCCAGACGCCGAAGGGAAAAGAAATTGAGAGGACTTGGAACGCAGAACACTTGCTCAAGTTTTACCATTGAAAATTTATCATTGATACTCCACCTGATGATTATGATGTATGGTAACCACGTATGGTGGTAAATGCGGTCCTTTTCCATCCACGGTTTTTCAAATAAGAGATCTCCTTGATCCACACAAGAGTGAATAATGGCAGTCCCTGGCCGCAAAAAAAAAAAAACATGGTGTCGTTCAAAGACACTGTGGGTGTCAAACTTACCCAAAACAAAAACAAATTACAAGGTGTCATCCAAGGACATCGTGGGTGTAAAACTCACCCAAAACAAAAAAAAATGAAATAAAAAACTAGTAAGTAGCCAGGCATGTCTCCTATGACATAGCTGAAATTCTCAACACGCAAGGGGTATAGACTCGCCCCTAGAAAGGGAACGAGGATACATCGCAACTCGATCCCAACAAATGCGTAACCCTCAGGGTTATATGGTCAGGATGCATCTGTGAAATATATCGGATAGCGGCCATGTTTCCCAAAAAACGTTGTGTGCCCCAGAGCAAGCCTAAGTCACTCAGGTGTTAGGTTCGCTCACTTAGTCCTATTTTTTGGGAATAAGTGATGCGCGCAATGTAGCGAAGGAGGAGGTGTCAACGACACCTTGTGCCTATCGTTGTCCTCAGTCACTCTATCTAAATGCACAATGCCTCAATTGAAAATTAGGCAGATACGGGGCGATAAATGCACCAAAGTTATACACTTGGTGTAGTATCACCGTATACTACTATAAGTGATCATGCAAACCGTGCCGAACGAGGCATGGTCGCAGTGTGATCTCATAAAATCAGAATATTAGTCAAATAAATAATTATGCGATAATACTAAACAATAACGAAAGGAAAATAAGACATGCATTATTATTATTTTATGAAAGTCAAAACATGTTTAGCAATTCGGGTACTCGTAATTGAAGACATGACAGAATTAAAGTCTACACTACGTCCATCCATCACTCCCATGCATGCTCTAAGGCACAGAAGCAGTCGAAGCTGGGTGATCTGTCTCGGAAGGAAGATCGCCAAGCTCCTCATCAGTGGGGAGTCTGTCAAAAGGAATATAGTCCAGGGGCGTGTTGGCTACCGGGATCTCAGGGTTGGGAACCTCAGGAGGAAGTCCCCAATCAGTGATGCAAGAGGTACCAGCCTTATCCCTCAAGATAGGATATATTTTCTGTTGAGTGGCATATATCCCGATCTGGTAGGAGATGTAGCTCTCTAAGGCCAGTTTCTCACGACCTTCCGGAGTAGACAACCAATGCTTGCTAATATCGTTCAAGTGGGCATTAATGTATGCTTCCTGATCAGACACGAACTCTGGAGAATTCTTGTATGCATCCACGGCCCGCCCCCTTGCATTGGCCAACTCGACGGCGTGCATTTCTTTAAGCGCAGTGACCTCGGCTGCATGTGAGTCACGCACGAGCTTGAGCGATGCCACCTCCTTCGCTAATTCGGTGAGTTGTAGCGACAAATCTTTCTCGCGCTCATCTTTCCTTCGGTTCACCTCGGAGATGGACAACAGTAGCTACAAAAAAAAAAAAAAAAAAAAATAGTATCACGAGATGCATAAATAAAAGGTAACGGGGAAATGGGAGGGTTACCTCGGCCAGGCCATGGTGGCTCCTCTTCTCTAAAGCAGCATGGTCAAGTGTTGAAATTTTCTCCTTCTCAGTCGCCGTGATCACCTGTGATAAGAGCGGAGGTAACTCAAGGTTACCTCGTAACCAAGTAGTCATCCCCGCCGTGGGAATATCACTCATGCTACGGGTGATGCGGGCTGCGGGGCTAGCGGCCTTGCGTTTTGAAATGGATGAAGGCACAGTTACAATGGCATCCTTGCCTTTTGTGACGGAGGGAACCCTTGGTTTCTTGTCAGAGCGCCCCTGGTCACTACCGCGAGGCCCATCCTGGTCGAAGCTTTGGAACATCTCCAACCGCGATGTCATATCTGCAAAAAAAAAAGAGGGTATGCATATGTGTTAGTTAATATATATATGCGTGTATTATCTCCTATAGACAGAGTAACTGTGGACAACCTTGATCCGTGGACGTGGATGCGTGTGCACCCGAACATGGTGACGGCGAATAGAGTCCAACCGTGGTTAGGCGGTCTTCGGAAGTAAAGGCAGAGAGGCTATACGGTCCTCCAGAAAGAATCATAGCCGGCCATGTCTCCTGGTCAACTGGAAGTTTCGGGTACGAATACTTCTTAAATCGACAATTCAAAGACGATGAAAAAGGTAACGGAGATCCAGACGACACATAGACAAATTCTTCTTTCCAATTGGCTTCGTTGCTACGAGTGACCTTCCACATGTCAAAGTGGTTGCGCTGAGAGATAGACACCCAGGACAGACTATCAGATGCCGAGCACTGCCCAGCTCGGAACATATGCTTGAAGAGGTCTAGGGACGATTCAATCCCAAGTGTTTCACACCGGACTAAGAAAGCTACCAGATACTGATGACCGAGCGGAGTCAGGTGACAAGGTGAAATTTCAAGGTCATTTAAAAACTCAATAATCAAAGGGTGCGTGGGAAAGCGGAATCCTAATTTTATGGAGAGAATATGCACCCCAAAAAAGTGACCTTTAGGAGGATCGGTTACAATATCCTCCGAATCGGGACATCGGACAGTCACTGTGGACGGAAAAAATTTCTTATACTTTTCAAACTTGGAAACTGAGAGGCGCGACCTGTAGTGTAAGATGGGGCTCGGGTCTAAGGGTGGATACGGACCACGGTAGCGACGTTTTGGTGGTTTGACAGAAGCGGCTCGTGGCTTTATGGGACTAATTTCTTCAACATCAGAATTAACATCTGCCCAAGGATGAGGAAAATTCTCCAACACTAATTCCCCGTCACCACTGAGCAATTCATCAGAGTCTATGGAGTCCAGTATATCCATAAGGTATTAACAGCTAAAATATTATGCAAAAAAAAAAAGGCAAGAGAAAAATCAGCCGCTAATTATTAAAAAAAAAAAAATTTACTACGTATATCAGTCATTAGCTATAAAAAAAAAAAATTGAAAGATACTTCGTATGTCACTGCAATTGATTGATAACATCAAGGACATAGCAAAAGGAGTTATGTTCAAAGCCAAAATTACAGAGGAGACTTAAGAGGGAAGTCAAAATTACAAATAAAAGGAAAGAAGACAGAAAACGGGAGCATACCTGTGTATTCTAACAGCAACGGCGGCGGAATCTGATTCAGACCTTCAGCGGGACAACGACGACGCAGGTGGAAGACGGCGATGGCAGGATGACAGACGACGACGGCGAACAGTCCCTGAGGTCACCGGAGTGCGCTAATGCCAGGCTATAGGGACACCGCCGGTGTGGTTGGGGTGCTCTGTTTACTCGCAGCGACCGTCTGGGGCGGATGGAGTACGACGGCAGGCAAGAACTTCGAACGTGGGTAGGCTGGTTGCGTAATTGGACGCTGGTGGTGGCTGGAGACGTTGACCGGCTGGTGGCTGCCGACGAGCTGCGACCTGGGCAGTATGGCAGTCCTTGACCCTCACCAACGAAGCTGCCAGGAAGGAAGTAAATTTGGAGTCATGAGCTGCACACTTCAGTAAAAGAAAAGGAAAATTGAATTAGTTAAAATGATTGAATGGGTAAAGACAAAAAACAAAAATTGACATGGTTACCATGTACACTCAACATTGAATCGGCAACTATGTCTATCAACATTGACACGACAACTATGCCTATACTCCCTATCGCCAATATGCTATTTGGCTTAGGGAGTGGGGGGCTTGTGATGGTGTAATTATCCCAATCATAGATAAATATTGACCGGGTTAACATAGATGAAAACAGTTAGAGGTTGATGTGCATGGTAACTATGCGCGGATGATGATAAGGTATAAGAAGAGCTCGTACGTGGTGACCACGCGCGGTTTGGGAGATAAAAGACGGTACATAGCGACTGTGGACGAGAGTTAGTAGAAGAATAGGGAGTACGGAGTAACCATGGATGTCATGGTAAGCTTATCCAAAGAGCACGTCCATAGCAACCATGGACGCAAGTAGAAGACCAGAGTGCACTATAGCCTTGGATGCCATGGCGAGCTTATATAAAGAAATGTCCACAGTGACCCTGGACATAGTAGTAGAAGCTTATCTAAACAATCTATACATGGTGTCTCTGGACATCATGACAAAAGCTACATGGCGACTCCGTACGACAAACTACATCAACGACGTCTTTTCAAGATATTCACACAATCAACAAAGGATTCCGCGGATCCGGATTATTGATCTGCATATCAATTCGAACATGGCGACCATGTCGCCCGAATCTTTTATGTCTTATTTTCTACTATAAAATCATGTAATCCTTGGAATGTTGATCAAGCTCAATCCACTGAATACACTACATACATTTATCTCTCTAAAGATTATCCTGAGCACTTTAATTATTTTCGGCTATCTCTTATTAATTATTTTCCGGTGGATTTACTTCCATCACTCCGTATAATTTATTAGCCATAAATTGACAAAATACTATCGAGTCAACAAAAGTATGAGCGATGAAACATCAAGTTATATATGATTTTCCTAAAATTGATACGCACATATGTAAATGATAAGTTTTTTTTATTTATTTATCAAGAGTTATGTGGTTTGAAGTAAAATTGGAGTACTTCATATACAACCCAAACGGATTCACGAAGATAAAACCGTTCAAGCAGCAAGCTAGCCGCAGTTGAAAAGCATTCTAGGCTTCTAGCACAAGGATTTTGTTTCTTGTACCTCATCGACTTTTTTACTAAAAACGATAACAATCGTGCACATATAATTAATTCCAATTTTAGTAAATGGAAGTGTTTGTGACTCCTAATTGTCTACGCACAGACAATTACACTAGGACGTGTAAATCAACGTGTAATCCAGTGTATAAGTGTATAACTAGCATTTTTTTGAACGATAATTATTACTTGTATATAATGTTTATTGGAGTTTCAAAGAGTAGGACTTATTTTTAGATGAGAAACTAGTTAAATTGATTACCAATCATGCTTGGATCTTTTGGGTACATTAGTTAATGTTTTCAAGTTTTCAACATAAACAGTTCATAGTTTCATTTGAATCTTGAGCTTGACCTCGAGTTCGAACATGTGTTCAAGAACTTGAGTTCACGAATTTGAATATTCAAGCTAAACGAACCGAGTTCCAACATACAAAAATTGATGAGTCGAACTGGAGTTTGAATTATCGAGCTTGGTCGAACTTCAAGAGTTCGATTTCGAGTCGAGCCTACCCAAGATTGAGCTGGGTTCAACTCGCTATACCCCTAACTGCAAAACACATTCCCTATCCAATATAAGTTGGCTAAGATTGAGCTGGGCATGTTTGGCACAACTAGCTGAAAAGATACTTTTTGTGAGCTTTTTAATAGCTGTTAGCTTTTAGTGACTGAAAATATCTTAAAAAGAAAAGGTGGTAGCTGTTTGATAAAAAGCTGACTGTTTGATTTAGTTCGGTTTGGTATACAAGCTGTTAGGATTAATTTATATTAAAAGTCACGAGCTTTTCTTAGATGCTACTCCCGGTAGCATCTCAAAAAAAATCTTTTAATTTTTTAAAAGCTCTTAAATATTGTCATGTCAAACACACAACTAGAAGCTTTTAGAAACTTTTTGAACAGTACAAAAGCTAGAAGTCAGGGACTTATGTCCGCCAAACATAGCCTAAGGGGGTGTTTGGAACTGATTCTGCTTCTGCTTCTTTTTTAAGAGCAGAAGCAGAATCAGGATCAGAATCAGTTTTCAGAAGCTGGTACCCCCATCTTCTAAAAAAACTGATTCTGAGAGTAAATTAGAGCTCCAGAAGTACTTCTGGAATTTCACCCAAACACTCCAGCTTCTGCTTCTGCTTCCTGAAGGAGCAGAATCAGTTTTGAGAATCAGATCCAAACAACCCTAAATTGAGATCCAACCACTCAATGACTCAAACTTCCGAATCTCTAATGTTTGGCTCAATTCAACAAGTCCAAAAGCCTTGTCGTAGTTTAAAAACCGAAGTACAAGACATTCAAGTGAAATGTTCACTTGCCGCCGTGCTGATCATGATAGAGCTAAAATAGATAAAAATCATTTATGATACTCCGTATTATTTTACTTATAGTTTATAATTATGCTCATTAGCAAATACTATAATGGTTTTAAAAGAAAATTATGCTCTTTTTTCATTCGAAGTATCTAAATGGGTCATCTACAAAATTGTTTGGAAAACAAATTATACCTCTAGATAGAGACTTCATAGAAGAATGAACACGCATTTTGCAAAGTAAGGACAACTTTCTGGTAAGTCAGAGCATATATTTTTTGGAAAGAGAACATAAATATTAGAGAGAATTTGAGTTTGTACTTATTTTGTGTGATTTTTGACTTTACATATATATATTTTAAAATTATTAATGTTTGCAATTTAATTCACTATAGAATCATTTGAGTTTGCACTACATTCCTTCATAATTTTTGAGTTGATGGGATGCAAAATACAATATGACCTAAAATATGTAGTGCGAAGTCAAATTCCCCCTAAATATAAATTAATCTTTTGTTTAATTATTTTAATTTTTTATGGTAATTTATATCCAACCTCTGCTCCAAGCCCCTTCCACACCTACCTAGACGCTGCCGGATCCACCGTTGAAAACCGTCATCAAAAAACTTGATGATTATTTTCTTTGTTTTTTGATTTTTTCAAAAGTTGCCGGCAATTACAATGACACGTTTCGCGACGGTGATGACATTTATAAATGACTTGAAAATATAACAGTCACATTTGTGAATCGTTTTTCTTTTAAAAAATAACGGTGACATTTGTTAGTGATGAAAATTTAGCATTGTCATCATATTTTCCAAATATATGAAATCATATTTCTATTCATATCTAAATCTAGTCATTTATGGTAGGTAGTACTACCTCCGCTTCAAATTGTTTTACAAAGTCTACATGTTTTTGTCAATCAATATTAAAGTTATACGAAACACATATAGCGGAAGCAATACACGAACAAATCAAATGAATTGTTCTAATAATTCCAAGACCTTCATCATGTTGAATAGTAGAGTATAATAATAATATACTACCTTGTTCCATAGTCAAGAATGCATGAAGAATGGAACGAGGCAGATGACGTTTGGATCTTCCTCAATTGAACCATCTTGAAGCCTTAGTCTCTCTTCCGATGGGGAGAAGAGAAGGTGAATAGTGATTCAATATATTGGGGACTATAGCCTTTATATAAAGTGTGTTGGTCTAGCTAGAGCTCCCATTAAACCCTAACGAGCAACACGAGCCTCTGCCCATTTATTTGGCTCATACAATTTATCTTAATAGTCTAATGGGTTTAGATAATATTGACCACATAAAACCCGATTATAATAAATAGCTAATACAATAATTATATTATTCTCTTATATTAATTATTGGAATACAATATTCCAACAAAAGTTAAATAATTCATGTTGATAATTAATTCAATTTTAATGATTAAAACTTACTTATCTAAAAACTACATTAAAATCTCTATAAAATTGTAAAATTCAAATTAAAATATAATTAAGAATTAAAATTCTAATTAAGTTGATTGAAATGAGTCTATTTGATCCAATAAATCAAATTTGCAATTCAATTTGGGATGAAGGAACTAGGGGTGGGCACGATCCGGGACGGAACGAGAATGAAATTGTCCCAATACCAAACCCGTTTTATAATAACGGTTCAGAACGGGATGGACAAGATGTTGTCCTTTTATTGTCCCATTTAAATCGGTACCGGAACAAAATGGGGTGGCTCAGGACATCCCAAAAAATGTAGTGAAAAAATTGCAATCCCAAAAACAAAGCAAAGTTGTTTCAATTTGTTTTTTTAAAAACTAGCGCAAGAAACTCTATGACAAAAAGCACTATAGCTAATCTATAAAATTGTGAGAAAAAATACAACTTACCATATTAGCTGCATGAAACAAAAGTTCCAAAAAAAAACTCTAATTCAAAAACTTATCAAGAAATCTGTAAAAGAATGATAAAAGAATACTATGCGAAGTGAAGCCTTTCAGAATAAAAATTAATTTCTTTTTTTTATAGATAGATGATAGTTCATAGTATGTGATATTAGGTAGTTTGGAGTTTTTTAGGTGTTTTAATTTATTATTAAAAAACTTGTATTTTAATAATCATTTTGTATATCAGTTGTGAAGAAAAGATAATTATTATTATTTGGATTACAAATGAGGTGTTAGTAGACTCACTAACCTACTACAAAGTATAATTTTTGATTCGGGACAACAAGACGAAACAAAATATATTTTACATGTTCCGGTTATGTTTTGTTTTGAAATGGTTCGGGGTCGATCCGAGACAAAAATAATATGTCCCAAATTTAACGGAACAATTTCGGAACATAACCGGAACATTCTGGAACGGACGGGGTCTTTTGCCCACCCAAGAAGGAAGTACCATTTTATTCAAAATGAATAATTATGCTCTCTCATTTTATTCGAAATATCTAAATGCATCATTTACAAAATCGTTTGGAAAGCAAATT